AATCATTTCAGACAACTAATTAAAAGCCTATAACCCAATCTACAGTAACACTGAGCAAAGTCACATGAGCAGATGAGCATGCTCTAAGAGAACAGGAAAATACTTGTTACAACTTAAACAGTATAACTTTATGATACAAAGTGATATAAAACAGCACATTTCCATTTCAGAAAAATTAAGGACATGGCATATAAGTTAGGGCTGAACATGCTCCTTATGATTTGCATGCTGTATCATCAGAAAGTCTTTATCACCTATTGGGGTTCCCTGGTAGAGGTAGTTGTTTATCTTACATTAGGCAGTTTCCTAGTATTTTCTTTTTAAAAAAACAGCTCCTGCAGTACTGGGTGAATTTTCAAAGCAGTAACCATTGCTGTGATGCTGTCTTTTTTGTGATCTACTGCAAAAGCCAAAGAATGTTAAAAAAACAGGAATAAAAATGAGACCATGGGCAATTCCCAACAAAATAACTAGTAACATGATCTTGAAAAAAGTTCTGAAGATGTATGTGGATGCCATAGACAGCACAACCACTCCCAGGATGGTAGAAACAGCACCCTGTACAACAGGGTAACCAAGATGATACAGGGCCTCCACTGCCTTATCATTCACTTTGAATTTCTCACTGGACACAAAGGAATAAGAAATATGAGCAGAAAAGTCTACAGAAAACCCAATGCAAATAACCAGGTTGATCATGGATATGGAATCAAGACTGACATCCCAATAGGCCATGAAACCGGTTACACCCACAATAACAGATGCAATGGCAAAAGTTACCCACAGTGAGCAGAGAGGACTGGGAATGAGCAGCAAGGAAATAAGCAGCATGGCTCCTGTAGCTATTGCAACATTTTGAATAGTATTCTGGATTATTACTAGATACTGATCAAAGTATATAAAAGCTGGATGATAGACCATTAGTGGTACCTTGCAGTCTTCAGCAAGGCCTCTCAGTTGATTTAAGAGATTTTTCTCATCCACTGCACTAGAAACATTGACTGTCTGTATGAAGAACCGTGAGGCTGATATTTCTGTACCACTAATATTAATATCCCACTTGGATGCTGGATTTACTGTAAACAGAAGAGTTAAATTGCCAGTGAAAATGCTGTGGTCATTTATATTTAAAGCCATGTGTTTAGCAAGAGTTTCATAAATTCTCAACCATGATTCTGAATAATTTTTGTTCACATAGGAAGAGTTTTCTAAAGTTTCCAGACAGTTTTCAAGATCTGCACGGACAGATGAATTCCAATATGGTAGGCTTTCAGTAACAATGACCATAACCCTTGGACCATACTCAGAAAAATATTCCCTTTCCCAATCATAATATGGAATTACGTAAGAATTATCACTAGCTAGATTGCGAAGATCTATACCTTCTCTCACTTGAATGCACCCATAAATGCTACTACCAAGATATACAAGATACAAGAATACCACACACACTTTGGTCCAGTTGTGCATGAGGAAAGGGCCATAATGCTCTCTAAAGAATCCATTCATGGGATGCTCAATCTCTGTTCCAGTGGACTTATCAAAAAATCCCCCCACACAGCAAGCATTATACAGACAGCCCTGAGCATCCTCACTCTCCTGTTTCACTTTCATGAAAGTGAGCCAGTGCCTGTTGCTTTCTTCTCTTCTTCCATTCAAAGCAAGAATAGCCCCGAGAAACGTCAGGTTGTATATGTAGCAGAAGATGAAAGCAGTCCCTGTGTAGAGGCAAAATGACTGAACGGACTGGAAAGAAGTTGCAATTCCAACGTAGAAAGCTAAAACATCAGTGAGAGTTGTGATAGTAATAGACACAGCTGCCTCTGCGTAAGTGTCACCCATCCGATCTTGGACTCTGTCTTCCACTTTGGTATGCTGCCAGCAGGACACCATGATGAACATGTCGTCAATTCCAACTCCTGAAGAGGGAAAAAACATCATGTATTAAGTTTCACCCGCCACGAGAAACACAGAAGAAAGGAATATACTGTGAGGATATCAATGAACCAACAAACACTCTGCATACAAAACAAGCTTTGTCTTCATCTATGTATAGTTTTTTGTTTGTTTTTTTCAAAATTGGCCATAAGGAAGAGTTTGGAAGTTTCCATTTCTGTTTTAGATGGATCAGAGTTCAGCATGTTATTCAAATCCTAAATTATGGTCAATCATTATTACATTAATATCCTGCCTTTTTTCCTCTTTTAACGAACCCAGGGAAGCGCACATGGTGCTCCTCCATTTTATCCTCAGAACACCAGCACTAGTTGGATGCAGAAAAATTGCCTAGGTCTTTTCTCACAGTTTGAACAGATGCCCTCTTCAGTGGGTTTATAACATCTAGCACTGATACAGCTTTTTGGCAGGAAAGGGTGTTAGAATTTAGAATGTACTTATTAAATCAATGTATATCACACTTTTCTACACCTGAAAGGGAAGTTAAACCAAATTGATACCTATCTTTTAAACCAAATTGCAATGACTTTGTTTTTGATTTGACAATCTCTGGAGAATCCAAATTTTAATAATTATTCAAGCAACCAGTTCAAAATAAGACATAGGATGAACTAAAACCTAGCAAGAATTATAAGGTCTTTAAAACAATGATTTGGATTTAGACTAAACAAGTGATGCTATAGTTCCTTGACACTGTATGAGGATCCATAGGATTTTTCACATTCCCAGAATTAAGCTCAGAAATCCTGAAACTGGAAATCATATCTCTGATTCCTCCTACTGGATTTGTTCCTTCTCCTGCTCTGCTATCTGTGGCTTTCCCAGTTCTCTCATTGGATGAGTATTTTTGGAAACCATAACTCTGCTAAAACTGAGCTTTTGACTTCTTCAGTTACTTTTCCGACCTCCGCACATTACTTTTACCTCTTGTTCTTGAAAATTTAGAAGTTCTTCAAAATGTAGCTGTTATTCTTCTCAAGTTCAGAACCTTAGGAGTACTTTTGAATTGTTTGTCTCCCTATGACCATGCCCTTTTCAAGCCTTGTTTTCAACTGATTAATGTTCCTAGTATCCCTTTTCTTTTCAAGATGAGGCCATGAGGGGTAGTTTTCAATTTGGGGATGGTTTCAGGTGCTGCATTTAGCAGCAGATGCAACCAAAGGCAAAATGGCTGGTTGAAGGTCCTAAATTAAAACTAAGCCCAAGGGAGATCCCTCAGAAGAGGCTGTGGATTCTTTAGCAAACCTTACTTCCATATAAGACGTGGAAGAACCTGAGCAATCCCACTGAAGGAATGGCTTGCATGAGGTCCCCAAGAACACCTCTTAATCATCCCTGAGCCCTATCAGGGTTCCTTCATCCCACAACTTTCCAGAGCATCAGCAGCAACAGACCAGGTGGAATGCTCAGAGTCACTGCTGGAGTATCTTGTTGCTGCCACCCATGGTTCAATCCAGGAAAATGTATCTACTTGTGAGAAGGAATATTCAGATGTAGTCAATGAAGAAACAGGCCCACTTGCAACAGATGAATCAGGGCTAGCAAGGCTATGAGCTGTCAGTCTTTTGCTAGGTAACAGTTCCCATTCAGCTCTTTGCTCCAGCTATGTGCTTGGGACAGTAACACCCCTAGAAAGTGTAAGCAAGAGCACAAAAATGTATACATTTGTACACTTACCAAGTATAAGAAATGGTGCATTTGCAGCTGTGACAACAAATGGCACCCCACAAAACATTAATAATCCAAAGCTGCTGACAACTGATAGGCCTGATGACAGCACCCCAAAAGCTGCAACCCACACATTTGTTCGTACAGAGTCTAGCCTGTAAAACAGATAAATAGGAATCTACATGGATTTAGAATGTCATGGTGCATGTGCTAATGTACTCTAGTTTTGTTCAAGAATGAAGAAGTGCATCAGGAAGTTGCATATTAGAAATACCCTCTATAACCACAAGAAACAGAAATACATTTATTTTTAGAAACAGAACTGGAAATTCTCAGAGATTGCTCAAGCCACTCAAAGCAGTGAAAATACTGCCTCTCACATGGTCTTCACTCTGCAAATTGCTTATATCTGTCTCATCTCCAAAGCAATTTCCCTGCAGAGGCTGCATGCGGCTTGCTTTGCTGGACGGTGCTCTTCCTCTTATACTTGCTTCTTTCCTAAACAGATCTGTTTGCTAGCATAATGTTGGGCAATATAACCTAGAATTTGGAAGACCCTCATATTTCCTCAAACCTGTAGGAGAACAACTTTGCCAGCAGTACACTCAGCAGCTGTCTCAAAAGGAGCAAGCATAGGCTAAGTTCAAAAGAACTGAGCCTTTACATGATCAGGAATAACGATCATCCAAGTAAAAAATGATTTAATTCTGAAACGATGCCATTGTAAATTTGCTTTTAAAGAAATTACTGCTATTTGACAGTATGCTGTCCTGATGAAGCCAAAGATATGCTTCTTGATTTTGAGGAACAGAAATACAGGTATGGACCTTTCCTTACAAATCTAAGTAGTGGGGAGGTAACACTTTCACAAGAAAAAATAAAAGTTATTTTCCTTCTTCCAACAATTACCTTGAGCATGACATAATTGAAAAGAATATTGTTAAGGTATATGCGATGGAAAATAAAGGGATCACTTCCTTGGCATTTTTTTCAAACTCCTCTTGTCTGGACAATGAAGTGAAATAGGCCACCTGCCAGGAGTAAAAAAATAAAGAGAAGGGGATCATATATTAAATATTTTTACTTTTAATATATAACCAATACTGTAGTCCTGTTCCCACTTACCTGGGAATAAGCCTCACTATATTCAATGGCTGTTACTTCTGAATAGACATTGCATTATAAATGTTCTCAAAGGTTTAAAGACGTGCAGTTAATGAATGCAAATAGGACCTATAGCAAATTTTACTGTGTGGAGTGCTCTTCTTCAGGGCTCTCGCCAACAAACCATAAATTCTGCATACTGCATCCCCTTCCATCTCATGCAATTTTCTATCCCCAACCCTGTGAGCATTTAACATTTAGTAGCCACTGAGCAGGTTCAGTCTTCATTAGGTACATTAGTTGGGATTATACTTTTGCAAACCTTGGGGGTTACTCTTAGCATGCTGCCACCTTTTTCTTTTTCTCTTTTCATAAACTGTAGGATATAGAAAAAGGAAGAGAAAAAAGGATACCAAGGGATCTTACACAAATATTACATAAAATATCAAGATCTAAAGTTTCACAGAAAATCAGCAATTGTTATCTCTTCTACACTCAGTTAAGATAATTAGTATTTAATTGAAACTCATAGAGCAATTATTCCAATTTATAATTCTTCATACTAACTTTTCCTTTTAAATTAGGGTTTAGCAATGATTGTTAAGGGAAAAATATTAATTCTGCTCCTGTTCCTTTTTATTTTTTTAATGTGATCAGCCTTCTGACTGTTCAAGGTAAACTACAAAAGCATAAACAAACACATTGCATGTCCACAGTATAACTTGATAGCTACAAAAGTATCTTAGAGAAGACTGTACACTCCACAGTGCATGAAGCAATCCTATAAATACAAGCAAGCCTAGAAGCAGATTCACTATAAATGCCCTGTTATGTATATCTCCATAACATGTAGAAGACAGATTCAGAAGGCGCTAATGAGTGACAGAATGAAATAACACTGAGTCACAGTTCTTTCTTTAATTGCAAGGTTCATATTAACCATCTGGGACACCACAGTACACACTGTCTGAACATTCAATGAAATGGATCCAAAACATCAATCTCATCCAGAGATATTTGATGCTAAAAGGCTACAATTGATAATCTCATTGAAAGATAGTTCAGTGAGGGCTCACCAATAGTTTAGTGGAGAGTCAGGAGACAAAAAGGCTGACAAACAGGGGTTGAATGAAATTCCCCAGTGTGCCTTCTCATGTGAGAAATCAAAACACTTTGCAGCAGCTAAGAATGCTGTTCCATGTAGGAAGTGGGTATACAAATCATGGTCTGCATACAAGCCTCAAGGTTTGCTGGCCCATGACCCCCACATACAAATTACCATCTAATTTGCAACTGTGTATACTCCAGAAATCAGCACTCAGAGGGGCTCCTTCCCCAGCTATATGTATATGCAGATTGTGTGTGTATGCACACATGTGTGTGTGTGTGCATGCTCATGTGTGCATGTGCAAGGGGAAGGATGGAAGAATGTGTGTGCCCAAGTGTTTATGTGGGGTATATGTAACTGGAAGTGCTTCCATGCATGTTCTGATCCTGTTCACCCACTCCAAACACCACCTATAGCCCCTGCAGTTAAGAAGACTGCTTCCCTGATTTATAAAAACTGAGTGTACCAGACCAGGTTCTGAGACCTGTGGTACTTCTAGGGCAGGGAGTAGGACAGTCATGAACCTTCAGATATTTTAGCCTGTAACTTCCATCATCCTTCACCATTGCTCATTCAGGGGATGGCTGATGGGAACTGAAGGCCAACACATCTGGAGAGCCACAACTGACCAAGCCCAGACTTAGTACATTATGTTCATCTTTACCAATTATTATTTGTTGCCACAAGATGTGGTGATTACCACTAGCTCAGCAGCTGTAATAGTTATTAGACAGATTCATGGAGGATAGCAGTAGCTACTAAGTCATGATGGCTATATGTTACTTCCCATATACCCCCAAATACCAGTTGCTGGGGAAGCAAAATGGAAGATGCCCTCAGATTCTGTTTGTGAGCTCCTCTGAGTCATGTAGTTGGCCACAGGGGGGAAAAAAGGAATCTGGACTAGATGGACCTTCCATCTGATCCAGCAGCTCTATTTATTTGCTCTTGTGCTCACCAATTAAGGGTGCAATCATATGCATATTTGAACAGCAGAACATCTCACAACTCCCAGCATTCACCAGCCAGTAATGCTGTAGGAATTGTTGGACTTTTTTCTTGTCCTAACATAAATAATAGTGTGCCCTTAGTTTTTTCAAAATAGCTGAAGACTGCCTAATTGTCATCATGTCTTTATCCTGTAAAACTTCACATCTGATTTATTATGCAAAGCAGAGTTTGTTACATGTTTAGTGTCGCTTCTCCCCATCCTAGTGCAATGCCTCTGGAAGCAAGGAAAGGCAGGCAGAATACCCAGGGAAACAGTGGAGAGCTATACTCCTCTCTCCCTCTTTCTTCTCTTCTTGGTCCCTGCAGATTATTCCATTTAGCAGACAGCTGAGGGGCAAGCCTGACCAGAGAATTGGGCTACAAAGGGTTTCAGGAGGGGGACTCTGCCATTTTGTTGAAAGACACCAAACATCTTCCCTATTTTGTCTGAAAGTGTTTCCTTATCTATTGCTTTGAGCAATATGTCTTACTTAGGGGTGGGATAATGAACTTTTAAAAAAACAGTTTTTCAGTAAAACATTTTTGTCTATTGGGATGGTAGAGCAGAAACTGAAAGTACACCAAAACAATAAGCTCTTTTCAATAATGGAAGCAGATTAGTCACTTTATTAAAAAAAAATATCAGCAGACCAACCCAAATGGATTTTTTTTCTCTGTTTGGAAGAGTTCCACGGCTTTTCCTCTGGGCACTCAGGCATAATGCTGAGGAAGAATTCTCAGCACAAATAATGGGCTGATGCCTGCAGCCAGTTCACTCCTGCTTTGGGTCCTCTCCTGATGGCAGGGCTGGTGCAAGACCTCCCACTGCCAAGACCAGAGCCAGGAGAAGTGGCTGCTGTTGAAGGAAGGGGAACACAGGAAAGTGAACCTTCACACACCACAGCTGGCTGGGGGAGGGGGGAGCTGTTGCACATGGTACTGCCAGGAGAGGGCCATGCAAGCTGCTGGGCAACACTGCCAAGCAGCCCACCATCTGCTTAAAACCTCACTCTGGAGGTCCCTTTGCAGAAGAAGGCATTGGCAGGGAGGCAGCCTTGGGAATTAACTACCGGTTCCACAGCAGCGCAGGTAATCTCCAAGGCTGCCTCCCAGCCAGCAGCATACTCTGAAAGAGGACCCCTTGCAGCAAAGCACAGGTCCTCTCTAGCTGCTGTCTCCAGAGGCTCCAGTAAATGGCCTATATTTATGCAGAGTGAGGCGCTGGAGAGTGGCAGTGCACAGAGTATCCTTCTTGCCTCATGAGAGGGCCAGCCATGCCCATCAAAAGCCATTAACCTAGCCAGGGAGCAAAAAATGTAGTGTGTCATGTGCACTAACACGCCCGTTTTATCACACCCCTTACAAGCCAAAGCACAAACCAGGACTTGATTGTGGTTTAGAAGATCTGGCTTGCTTGGGAGCCACAAACCAGGAGCCCTCAGTTGAATGACTCATTCAGCTTTTCAATCCTAGATACTTTAGTCTTTCCTGGTGGCAGGTGGGAATGAACTGCACACATTGCCTTCACAGGAAGCCAGAATTTTCTGGAATTCTGGTTTCTTTATTTAATTCATTTGTATATTTATTTATTTATTTATTTATTTAAACATTTTTATGCTGCCCCATTCGCCGAAGCCTCGGGGCAGCTTACAACAATAAATAAAACCACATAAATTAAAATATACATATTAGAATACTAATAATAATTTAAAATACAATATACACACAATATAAAATAAGCCGCCCTGGCCAGATAAAATTCAGTAGTATTAACATTTAAAATGTTGCTTAAATAAAAAGGTCTTCACCTGGCGCCGAAAAACAAATAACGACGGCGCCAGGCGGACCCCTCTGGGGAGCGCATTCCATAACTTAGGCGCCACCGCTGAGAAAGCCCTCCTCCGAGTAGCCACCCTCCTAATTTCTCTCACGGAGGGCTCCCT